ATATCTTTTGGTGACTAAACCATTAGTCGCCGAAAGTGAATGTTTGGCTTCTAAACTTTGGTTAGTCGGCAAAGGATATCTTTTGGTGACTAAACCATTAGTCGCCGAAAGTGAATGTTTGGCTTCTAAACTTTGGTTAGTCGGCAAAGGATATCTTTTGGTGACTAAACCATTAGTCGCCGAAAGTGAATGTTTGGCTTCTAAACTTTGGTTAGTCGGCAAAGGATATCTTTTGGTGACTAAACCATTAGTCGCCGAAAGTGAATGTTTGGCTTCTAAACTTTGGTTAGTCGGCAAAGGATATCTTTTGGTGACTAAACCATTAGTCGCCGAAAGTGAATGTTTGGCTTCTAAACTTTGGTTAGTCGGCAAAGGATATCTTTTGGTGACTAAACCATTAGTCGCCGAAAGTGAATGTTTGGCTTCTAAACTTTGGTTAGTCGGCAAAGGATATCTTTTGGTGACTAAACCATTAGTCGCCGAAAGTGAATGTTTGGCTTCTAAACTTTGGTTAGTCGGCAAAGGATATCTTTTGGTGACTAAACCATTAGTCGCCGAAAGTGAATGTTTGGCTTCTAAACTTTGGTTAGTCGGCAAAGGATATCTTTTGGTGACTAAACCATTAGTCGCCGAAAGTGAATGTTTGGCTTCTAAACTTTGGTTAGTCGGCAAAGGATATCTTTTGGTGACTAAACCATTAGTCGCCGAAAGTGAATGTTTGGCTTCTAAACTTTGGTTAGTCGGCAAAGGATATCTTTTGGTGACTAAACCATTAGTCGCCGAAAGTGAATGTTTGGCTTCTAAACTTTGGTTAGTCGGCAAAGGATATCTTTTGGTGACTAAACCATTAGTCGCCGAAAGTGAATGTTTGGCTTCTAAACTTTGGTTAGTCGGCAAAGGATATCTTTTGGTGACTAAACCATTAGTCGCCGAAAGTGAATGTTTGGCTTCTAAACTTTGGTTAGTCGGCAAAGGATATCTTTTGGTGACTAAACCATTAGTCGCCGAAAGTGAATGTTTGGCTTCTAAACTTTGGTTAGTCGGCAAAGGATATCTTTTGGTGACTAAACCATTAGTCGCCGAAAGTGAATGTTTGGCTTCTAAACTTTGGTTAGTCGGCAAAGGATATCTTTTGGTGACTAAACCATTAGTCGCCGAAAGTGAATGTTTGGCTTCTAAACTTTGGTTAGTCGGCAAAGGATATCTTTTGGTGACTAAACCATTAGTCGCCGAAAGTGAATGTTTGGCTTCTAAACTTTGGTTAGTCGGCAAAGGATATCTTTTGGTGACTAAACCATTAGTCGCCGAAAGTGAATGTTTGGCTTCTAAACTTTGGTTAGTCGGCAAAGGATATCTTTTGGTGACTAAACCATTAGTCGCCGAAAGTGAATGTTTGGCTTCTAAACTTTGGTTAGTCGGCAAAGGATATCTTTTGGTGACTAAACCATTAGTCGCCGAAAGTGAATGTTTGGCTTCTAAACTTTGGTTAGTCGGCAAAGGATATCTTTTGGTGACTAAACCATTAGTCGCCGAAAGTGAATGTTTGGCTTCTAAACTTTGGTTAGTCGGCAAAGGATATCTTTTGGTGACTAAACCATTAGTCGCCGAAAGTGAATGTTTGGCTTCTAAACTTTGGTTAGTCGGCAAAGGATATCTTTTGGTGACTAAACCATTAGTCGCCGAAAGTGAATGTTTGGCTTCTAAACTTTGGTTAGTCGGCAAAGGATATCTTTTGGTGACTAAACCATTAGTCGCCGAAAGTGAATGTTTGGCTTCTAAACTTTGGTTAGTCGGCAAAGGATATCTTTTGGTGACTAAACCATTAGTCGCCGAAAGTGAATGTTTGGCTTCTAAACTTTGGTTAGTCGGCAAAGGATATCTTTTGGTGACTAAACCATTAGTCGCCGAAAGTGAATGTTTGGCTTCTAAACTTTGGTTAGTCGGCAAAGGATATCTTTTGGTGACTAAACCATTAGTCGCCGAAAGTGAATGTTTGGCTTCTAAACTTTGGTTAGTCGGCAAAGGATATCTTTTGGTGACTAAACCATTAGTCGCCGAAAGTGAATGTTTGGCTTCTAAACTTTGGTTAGTCGGCAAAGGATATCTTTTGGTGACTAAACCATTAGTCGCCGAAAGTGAATGTTTGGCTTCTAAACTTTGGTTAGTCGGCAAAGGATATCTTTTGGTGACTAAACCATTAGTCGCCGAAAGTGAATGTTTGGCTTCTAAACTTTGGTTAGTCGGCAAAGGATATCTTTTGGTGACTAAACCATTAGTCGCCGAAAGTGAATGTTTGGCTTCTAAACTTTGGTTAGTCGGCAAAGGATATCTTTTGGTGACTAAACCATTAGTCGCCGAAAGTGAATGTTTGGCTTCTAAACTTTGGTTAGTCGGCAAAGGATATCTTTTGGTGACTAAACCATTAGTCGCCGAAAGTGAATGTTTGGCTTCTAAACTTTGGTTAGTCGGCAAAGGATATCTTTTGGTGACTAAACCATTAGTCGCCGAAAGTGAATGTTTGGCTTCTAAACTTTGGTTAGTCGGCAAAGGATATCTTTTGGTGACTAAACCATTAGTCGCCGAAAGTGAATGTTTGGCTTCTAAACTTTGGTTAGTCGGCAAAGGATATCTTTTGGTGACTAAACCATTAGTCGCCGAAAGTGAATGTTTGGCTTCTAAACTTTGGTTAGTCGGCAAAGGATATCTTTTGGTGACTAAACCATTAGTCGCCGAAAGTGAATGTTTGGCTTCTAAACTTTGGTTAGTCGGCAAAGGATATCTTTTGGTGACTAAACCATTAGTCGCCGAAAGTGAATGTTTGGCTTCTAAACTTTGGTTAGTCGGCAAAGGATATCTTTTGGTGACTAAACCATTAGTCGCCGAAAGTGAATGTTTGGCTTCTAAACTTTGGTTAGTCGGCAAAGGATATCTTTTGGTGACTAAACCATTAGTCGCCGAAAGTGAATGTTTGGCTTCTAAACTTTGGTTAGTCGGCAAAGGATATCTTTTGGTGACTAAACCATTAGTCGCCGAAAGTGAATGTTTGGCTTCTAAACTTTGGTTAGTCGGCAAAGGATATCTTTTGGTGACTAAACCATTAGTCGCCGAAAGTGAATGTTTGGCTTCTAAACTTTGGTTAGTCGGCAAAGGATATCTTTTGGTGACTAAACCATTAGTCGCCGAAAGTGAATGTTTGGCTTCTAAACTTTGGTTAGTCGGCAAAGGATATCTTTTGGTGACTAAACCATTAGTCGCCGAAAGTGAATGTTTGGCTTCTAAACTTTGGTTAGTCGGCAAAGGATATCTTTTGGTGACTAAACCATTAGTCGCCGAAAGTGAATGTTTGGCTTCTAAACTTTGGTTAGTCGGCAAAGGATATCTTTTGGTGACTAAACCATTAGTCGCCGAAAGTGAATGTTTGGCTTCTAAACTTTGGTTAGTCGGCAAAGGATATCTTTTGGTGACTAAACCATTAGTCGCCGAAAGTGAATGTTTGGCTTCTAAACTTTGGTTAGTCGGCAAAGGATATCTTTTGGTGACTAAACCATTAGTCGCCGAAAGTGAATGTTTGGCTTCTAAACTTTGGTTAGTCGGCAAAGGATATCTTTTGGTGACTAAACCATTAGTCGCCGAAAGTGAATGTTTGGCTTCTAAACTTTGGTTAGTCGGCAAAGGATATCTTTTGGTGACTAAACCATTAGTCGCCGAAAGTGAATGTTTGGCTTCTAAACTTTGGTTAGTCGGCAAAGGATATCTTTTGGTGACTAAACCATTAGTCGCCGAAAGTGAATGTTTGGCTTCTAAACTTTGGTTAGTCGGCAAAGGATATCTTTTGGTGACTAAACCATTAGTCGCCGAAAGTGAATGTTTGGCTTCTAAACTTTGGTTAGTCGGCAAAGGATATCTTTTGGTGACTAAACCATTAGTCGCCGAAAGTGAATGTTTGGCTTCTAAACTTTGGTTAGTCGGCAAAGGATATCTTTTGGTGACTAAACCATTAGTCGCCGAAAGTGAATGTTTGGCTTCTAAACTTTGGTTAGTCGGCAAAGGATATCTTTTGGTGACTAAACCATTAGTCGCCGAAAGTGAATGTTTGGCTTCTAAACTTTGGTTAGTCGGCAAAGGATATCTTTTGGTGACTAAACCATTAGTCGCCGAAAGTGAATGTTTGGCTTCTAAACTTTGGTTAGTCGGCAAAGGATATCTTTTGGTGACTAAACCATTAGTCGCCGAAAGTGAATGTTTGGCTTCTAAACTTTGGTTAGTCGGCAAAGGATATCTTTTGGTGACTAAACCATTAGTCGCCGAAAGTGAATGTTTGGCTTCTAAACTTTGGTTAGTCGGCAAAGGATATCTTTTGGTGACTAAACCATTAGTCGCCGAAAGTGAATGTTTGGCTTCTAAACTTTGGTTAGTCGGCAAAGGATATCTTTTGGTGACTAAACCATTAGTCGCCGAAAGTGAATGTTTGGCTTCTAAACTTTGGTTAGTCGGCAAAGGATATCTTTTGGTGACTAAACCATTAGTCGCCGAAAGTGAATGTTTGGCTTCTAAACTTTGGTTAGTCGGCAAAGGATATCTTTTGGTGACTAAACCATTAGTCGCCGAAAGTGAATGTTTGGCTTCTAAACTTTGGTTAGTCGGCAAAGGATATCTTTTGGTGACTAAACCATTAGTCGCCGAAAGTGAATGTTTGGCTTCTAAACTTTGGTTAGTCGGCAAAGGATATCTTTTGGTGACTAAACCATTAGTCGCCGAAAGTGAATGTTTGGCTTCTAAACTTTGGTTAGTCGGCAAAGGATATCTTTTGGTGACTAAACCATTAGTCGCCGAAAGTGAATGTTTGGCTTCTAAACTTTGGTTAGTCGGCAAAGGATATCTTTTGGTGACTAAACCATTAGTCGCCGAAAGTGAATGTTTGGCTTCTAAACTTTGGTTAGTCGGCAAAGGATATCTTTTGGTGACTAAACCATTAGTCGCCGAAAGTGAATGTTTGGCTTCTAAACTTTGGTTAGTCGGCAAGTCAACCTAGACTTGACAACCAGAGAATGCAATTGCTGCCCAAGTGACAACAATTCCAACTCCGCACAGGCATTAATAGTACTACTAAAAGTAAACCGATCAGGTATAAAGCCACTAACTACCATATCAATGAACAACTCAACAGCATCCTTGGGCTGACCCAGCTGAGAATATCTAGTAATCATCAGAGTCCAAGTAACGGCATTTCTTTCAGGCATTATATCAAACACTTTCTTTGCAGAACCCAAATCACCACAACCCTTCACAAACATATCAATCAATGCACACCCAATACACACATCAGACTCAAAATAGCCCGTCTTTATCACAAACCCAAAAATTATCTTCCCAATCCAAGCATTCTTGGAGTTCGAACACGCCTGCATCACGGCAGCGAGGCAAAATTGATTTGGATACTCTCCAAATTCAAGCATATCAAAGAAGGTAGATATAGACTGCGATTGCATACCATTATGAGCGAAGCAAGAGATCATCGCACTCCAAGAAACCAAGTCTCTATGCTCACCCATACCGTTAAAGATAGAATTAGCAGTTACCCAATCACCGGATTTGGAATACAAGGTGATGAGTGAGTTGAGTAGGACCGAGTCAGGGTCGAGTAGTGAGTGGGACAATTTGGAATGAACAAGCTTACCCAGATCAAATTGGCGCGTTCTGATGCAGGACTTGAGGAGGACAGAGTAGGTGACGAGGTCTGGGGAGAGTCCGTGTTGGGTCATGAGATCAAGGGTTGAGATTGCCTGGTGGAGGTGACCCTGATTGGCGAGACGGATCAGACGGTCCTTGAATGGTTCGAAATTGGGATGTTTCAGGGTTTGGGTGGATGGTGAGGAGGTGTTGTGGAGGGAAGGGTTTATGGTTAAGTTGGAAGGTGGAAGTAATTTGGGGGGAGATAGTAGAGAGAGAACGAACATTGCTCTTTCTTCAACGGTTTTCTACCCGAAATAGGATCCAAATTTGTTGACGAGAGGATTGGACAGTCGTGGTGCTGTGTTGATGAGTGCTGTGGGGGTGGAGGCGACAACCACTGTTTGTGTACGTCTATGCTCGAGTAAATTTGGTTATTTTGAGAATTTGGTTAAAAGTGAATTTTTTATTGCTTTTTAATTTTTTTTTTTGAATATCATCGCTTTATTTTTATATGTTTTTTCAAAAAATAGTTTAAAAAATTAAAAATTCAACTTTTAATCAATTTCTTAAAATAAGTCAAAATTATATATATTTTTTATGAATTTATATAAATGGTTTTATAAAAGTACGTAATTTGAATATAAATTTACTGATTATGTAAATTTATTTGTGTTTAACTTATAAAATTTTGTGAGATAACTTATAACAATTCATAAAAATTTAGTTAATTTTGTAATAAAATTATATACGGCGCACAGAGAATTTTCTCTAATAAATATATCATTATCTAACTGTGTTGTATTTGTGGTTGTATGTAACATTATTATTAGTAGTTTTCATATTTTGACTATTATGTTATTTTAGTTCTTATAAATTTAATTGAGTCAATTTTGATGTTAAATTTATTATTTTAGCTCAATTTAGTTCAATTGATTACAATTTTTAATTTTTTTTTGATAAAAAACACACGCATAAGCGACACATGTCATATTTTTATTTTTAAATTGTAAACTTGTTCAACTTAGCTCCGTTTGGCAAGAGTTTTTTTTGGCTATTTTAGCCACAAAAGACAAATAGGCTATTTTAGCTACAACAAATAAAACATCAAATCCAACCCATAATCATTACACTCTCCTCTCACAAAAAAAGCAAAAAAAGTCAAAAAGTCAAAAAACCCTTCCTAAACCAAGCTTTTTAGCCTAGGCTAAAATAGCCAAAAAAGTCAAAAAGCCAACCCACTTCCCAAACCGAGGGAGGCTTCATAAGTTAACATTAACCAGCTTAGTTACTATTTTTTTTTTCTTCAAAAATCCTAATTAGCATAATCAATTAGATAAATTGATATAAAATTTAAAATTACAAGTTAAAATTAAACTAATTAAAATTATAGGGACTAAAATGAAAAAAATTGGATAAATTGCAAAAATTATTGATGTAATTTGCCCGAAGAAACAAGAATTATTCACTCAATAATTTATAGCTTTGTATTGATTAGGGACACTATGCAAAATAATGTTAATGCTACCTTCTATACTTACTTCGTTTTTTTTTTTTTTTTTAATCACCTGATGGAGTTAGCAATATATTAGTGTGATTTACAATTAACTTATGTGTAGGGAGGGAATAAGGCAGGTTTGGGACGCCCCACCCTTCTCCATATCATATCTTATTTTATTATTTGCGAGTGGCTTCTCATGTTGGGACTAAAACTAGACCAAACAATCCAATCAACAAGATAGTGACACATTAGCACATATAGCAATCAAAGGTTGAGATTCGGCTGCATATGTGGAGCCGTAACTCTTATACAGAATAACATCGTTTTGTACTAACGGAGGATCACAAACTAACGTTGAGGGCTTTTCATCGTCATCTTCTGGTGAGACTTCTCATCTTCGTGCTCAAAAGCAATAGGTGATTTTTTTTTTCTCGAAATTTTCAAGAAATTTCATCTTCGTGCTAAAAAATGATAGTGATTGTTTTTCCTGAAATTTTTTCTCCACATCAAAAATCTTCGTTCGTAAAAAACGAATGGATGAATCAATGTGTGCAGAAGGTTTTGAACCTCTATGGATGAGAAATTTGTTGGGACCAAACAGGTGATCTGTATTCTCTCTCTCTCAATAGCTAGTGTTTTGGGAGTATATATGTTCATAATATACATACACACACCTATATATATATATATATTGTATATCTATGGCCTTTTTTTTTTTCTTTACCAGATGTTCACATGGTTTAGATAATTCTCGTGAATGTACCTATATAAAATAACTTCTATACTTCTAGGACCAATTTATAATTTTTTCTAATCAATTTGATAAGTGTAAATTTTTATTTAGAAAATATCATATGCATTTATGTTCTCAATTATGTGTTCACTAGAAATTATACAAAAAGAACTTGGTGAGGTTATATTGCTCTGAATGATTTCATGATATTATTTAGTCTGTTGTTGAAAATTGAAATAGGGATGCCAATCCAAACCTCAATATGCCAGATTACAAACCCCAAATAGGTTTGGAGTTTGATTCATTGGATGATGCAAAAAAAAAAAAAAAAAAAAAAAAAAAAAAAAAAAATTACAATGAGTTCGAAAGGATTATTGGTTTCAGTGTTCGAATTGAATACTCTAACTCATGCAAAAAAAAAAAAAAACAAAGGGGATCACTTCTAGAAGGTTTGTTTGTTTGAAAGAAGGGTTCCGACGTGAAGACAATAGGGATATCAAAACTAAAAAGCCGCATCAAGAGACAAGAACTGATTGCAAGGCACTTATGACAGTTGCATTGAATAAAAAGAGCCAAAAATATGAGGTTATTAATTTTTTTGATGATCACAATCACCCACTTCATATTCAAGAATGCATCCATTTGATGCCTTCGCAATGAAAAACTACAGAAGCTCAAGCAATTGAAGCTGATTTGGCAGAGGCCTCTGGGATTAGATTACGATCATCGTTTAAGCTTGCATTTTCGGCAAACATGTGGAAGGGAATGTCTTGGTTTTACCCGCCAAGACTTGAAAGACTATCTTTGGACCAAACGACAACAAGACTTGAAGTTTGGGGAAGCTGGAAGTTTATTGGTGTATTTTGCGGACAAATCAATGAAAGATTCTTCATTTCACTTTAATATACAATTAGACGTTGAAGAACAAATTACTAATATCTTTGGGTTGATTCGAAAATGATAATTGACTATAGTGTGTTTGGGGATTTTGTTAGTTTCGACACAACATCCAGAACTTGTAAGGATTATCGTCTGTTAGCAGTTTTTTGGGGGTTTAACAATTATAGAAAAGGTGTTATATTTGGAGTTGCACTTCTTTATGATGAAACTGCTACCTCGTTTGAATGGTTATTTAGGAGCTTCTTGGATGCTATGTCAGGAAAGAAACAGAAAACATTTTTCACCGATCAAGACTCTACTATGGCAAGGGCTATTTCATTGGTTATGCTTGACACATTCCATAGAATATGCATGTGGCATATGAAGCGAAATGCAATTAAGCACTTGGGAAGCAAATATGTAGGTGATCATGGTGGGATTGGTGTTGATCTTGGTAAATTCATTTACAATTATGAGGATGAGGAAAGCTTTTGCATTGCTAAGGAAGATATGCTTGATAGATTTGATGTTCATGATAATAGTTGGTTGCCTACTATATATGGGGTGATGGAAAAATGGGCAAAGCCCTATGTTATGACAGTTTGGTCTACTTGGGTTGATACTACGTAGGTAAGTGAAAGCTTCAATGCCAAACTTTGTAATTTTTGCAATCGGACTTAGGAATAGTGCATTTCTTTAAGCATTTTGAAAGGCTTGTTGATGATATTAACCACATATAGTTAGAATATGAATATGCTTCTCGTCAAAAGTTGTCGAGAATTGGATTACCTGTTCCCATGTTGATTACTGCAGGAGATTTTTACACAAACCAGATTTTGAACTATTCAAGATAGAATATTAGAATAGCTTGTGTACTTTTGCATAGAAACAAGATGAAAGTAACCTTTCACATGACTATATGGTCAAGATACCTTATGAGCCTATAGTTTGTAAAGTGAAAGTCAACCCACAAGGCCCTCAAGTGTCATGCACTTGTCAATTGTTTGAGAGATGTTTAATTTTGTGTTCCCATGCTTTGAAAGGCCTTGACATGATAAACATCAAAGAGATACCAAAATCTTACTTGTTGAAGGGATGGGCAAAAAAATCCAAAGATGGATTGGTGCAAGAAAATAATAGGTGTGTAGCTAAACAAGTTGTGGTTGATTTGGATACGAATGCTCGTTATAGAATGTTGTGCTTGAGTTTGATTAAGTTGGGTTGTCGTGCGGCTGAAAGTAAAGAAACTACATGCATGCTTATGAAAAATTCTATTAAAATGGCAAAAAAAGATTGATGATGTCTTAAGAAAACAAGCTAGTGTGAATGAAAAAGAAAATGACGCCATGCGCCTTGATGCCCACAAAAATCAAGTGAAAAGGTTGCAAAAGAAAATCAATCTCATAACCCACATGTCTTTAAAGCAAAGGGGTTAAAGAAAAAGGAGGGTTTGGGGAAGGGTAGACTGAAAAAAGGCCTAAGAGTTTGGTTGAATTGCAACCCATAGTAAAGAAAAGTAGATGCAAAATGGAATCTCAATCAACCCCTCAATTGTCTATTATAGATTGTACAGTACAAGTTGAAGGTTATTTTCTGTTTATAAATATTTTCTTTCTTAATCATACATTTTTTATTGATTTTATATAAATTTTCATAATATAGGATAACATGCCTCTTTATGTGCCTGTGTTCCAAGATAAGAACATGGATCAAAGTCCTCTCTATCCACAGGGTGTCGAGATGCCCAATTCTATGTCATGGATGATCCCAGAAACACCTCAAGCTTGGAACCATCTTGCATTCACTCAATTGTTACAGGTGAAAATGAGTTCTACTGAAGTTTAATTATTTGGTTTTATACAACTTATATTATTCATGTCAAGATTGCATAGCTTTGATTTGTTTTTTGACACATTACTTTCTTTTTTGATGTAGGAGTCCTTGCTTTGTCCTTCAATTGAAGATTCTAAAGGATCCTCAAGTGCACAATATAGTAAATTTATCGGACTTCAGTGAAACTAGTTTAGTCAATTTTTGCAAAAGAAACTTTTTGACAGTGGCCTTTTTTGAGATCTTAGACAACAACAAAGTGTACACAGCTTCCAGCATACTTGTTATTTACAGTGGCCTTTTGCTCTTGGTTATGTTTTTCATGTGTTTTTGATATTGATTAT